ACAGCTGGTCAGGAAAGGTTTTAGTAATTTAAGCAATCATTTATAAAAACAGATGTTTAGGGGTAATTGGCCAGGAACCCACCACAGTAATCCAATCTGGGTCTGTCACCGGGACCCAGATTGTATCCTGCAATATTATTCTGGGACATGTATATTTGCCTTCATTACACCATAGTAAGTTTATTCTCTTTGAATCTAACAATTTATTCTCTAGATCAGTATTTTGCAGTTCTGAGTATGACACTTCCCACCCCCAAGTATGCAAAATAAGTTTTAAAGCATGTATAGTTGATTCTTACATTTTTAAGGCTTTATGGAATGTGTCAAGACTCAGCCCAAATAGTTTAATCATCAGTATGTTAATTCAGAAATAACTCTTGAATGTTCAATTGAATTTATTCCCTGATGAAAGTATGTAATAGTGCAGTCTACCAGTCCATGTTTATAATGCAATTATATTTTCATTGTGTCTAAGAAATAGAAAATGAGCTGGTTTTGCCAACTGATCACATGAGTAAGACAGCTACAGAGGATACTGTTAAAGTAACATTTCTTGTCAAATAATCTATCACAAGTCTAAATCTATTGGAGATGTAGTTTGGGCTTATTTTATTAGGGATCCTTAATCCTGATGCATATAGAGGTCTGCTTTCTTTAGTTTTAAATAGGTATAAATGCATTCATTTGACATGCCATTTGTGCTTCAAAAGATCAGGTCTACAAAATAACTGCTGACAAGAAAGACATATAGATGATTGGATTCTTTTTACTTTATCTGAATTCACATATCAGACTAAGGCATGCTTTGCTAAGCAGTAGCTTACTGAACCATTTATAACTGACTGGGTTCATATAAATAAAAATCTGACAAATCACATAAATAATTTCCAAACCAGGAATGGACAAGAAGCTAGGTATCATCAGCATATTGAAGATGTCTCACCCCAAGCTTTCAAATGACTTCTTCCAGTGACTGCACTTAGATATTATGCAGTGTTGAACTCTGGAGCACCCTACAATGGAACGTTAAACTTTCTCCCACTGTCGCTTCCAATTGAATCCACTCACTCATGTAGGAATGGAACCAGTGTACTGTAAAATGGTATCCTACATCACTATTTTCTTGCCAGAACATGCAGAAATTGGTGAGCCATGCTTCCTTTTGTTCATCCAGCCAAGTTTCAAGGATGTGTGCCAAGTCTGCTCTCCATGATTTCATTGGAAATGAGATTAAAGTCATTATAGACAGATGTGATATTTGGAAGCATCAGTCTGAGTCTGAGTCTTGCATCAATCCATGTGCCTCTCTTAAAAATTGAGGTACTTTAATTAAAGGTTCAAAATTTTGTGCCAATCCCTCTTTTGAAATGCAAGGATTCCTGCGTATTTTCACAGCCTCCCATTGCCATTCTTCCTTTCATTTTTGCCCTCCCTGGCTATCTACTCCTATTTCCAATCACCCAGTATCAAATAACAGCATCAAAAAAGATTCAATTACAGGTACACCTAATTAACATTTTTTCCAGCATCTTACCACTGAAATAACCCCTCTTTTTTCCCCTCACCCTCTTTCTTCCATCTCTCCAGTTCCTATCCGGCTCTCAGCCATCTGGGTTAGAGGGAACCAAGATCCTTCCCTATTTTTTCATTGTAGGGGCTTTTCAGTTCTTCAGCTCCCTCTAGAAAAGCAAATCGTTTCATTCTTATTTCGTTGGTTTCTTTTGTTTTATCCCAATGCTGCTTTTCCAAAAGGCAGCTGGACTTTTTTTTTCTTTGAAAACATTTAGCTTGTCATCCAAGAAGCTTCTTCAGTTTCCTAAGAACTGAAGAATATATGCAGTGCCCTTCTGGATCAGGCTCACAGCCCATCTGGTCTAGCAGTTTATTCTCACAGTGACTAACCATTTGTACAAGGAAGCCCATTAGCTTTTCAGCAGATTGCCTTCAGAAGCAGTCACACGTACAAAGACTTTTCCAGGCAGGTTCCAAATACAGGCACCTTTAACAAGAAAAAGATTATATACTTAAGTGAATATTTGGTAAGTGTCATAGTGGGTGAAACAATGTAAGAAGTGTATTATTTATTAGAAAACCTGAGTCTTACAAATCTACAGGATGCTGCTAGTTGACTTAACACTTGACTGAATTGAAACAATCTTTGGTACCTAATAATGTTGTGTCACCCTCATATTCTTCCATTTATCTTTATCTACAATTATCAAATAAACAAAGGGGAAAGAATTATTTTTGTGAATGCACATGATCTGAATGTATTTTAAAACACTGTAATTGGACATTCTTGGTAAACAAATGGGGCAAATGAGGCTGTTTCACCTTCCCCTCCTTCCAGCACCTCTTTATATAGGTAGAGGAGTATGGATATGGCTTTGAAGAAGGGATTCAATAACCATTGTATCAGCATCAATTTAACCACATAGACAGGAATGATAAGGGGAAGAAATCAAGATTTTCCTACTTTAATGGACGGTAAATCTCTGTCCAGCTTTCAAGATTCTATTGTTATACCATATAATAATATTTCTGTAATTTTTGTGGTGTTTGTTTCCTGAATCTGGTTTAGATATTCCACTGCCAGTCCCAGTATCTGCTTACCCTGAGAAAATGTTAAATCAATTTTGCCAGGTCAGTCTCCTCAAAAACATTTTCCAAATGAACTTCCAGATGTATCCTATACAGGAAGTCCTGGGTCCAACTGAAGAAATTCATTATTTAGCATGTTTTATAAAGACTTAACAAATTATTTATGACTTGTGGTTTTATGATTTCCAAGAATCAGGACACTTAGCATTTTAAACTGAAGGCTAGCATTGATGTTCTTGATTCTTTATGAGCAGATATAAATCTAGGGGCTATTTTAATAAAAGCATTGTTCTTGAATCAAGTGTTTGGGTCAATGGCCAGCCTGGATGCTGGCAGTGACAAATATTGATTAATATCAACAGAGTCTTTTGGATGCTGTATATGAAATATTCCCTGTACAACCTGACTGGGTTAAAATCCATTCTTGCAAGGAAGACACCTGAAAAGTGTGCAGGTTTATTACAAATGCTTGTAATAATCAGCATTCAGAATTGTTGCAATTTTTCCACAGTCTTTGCTGTCTTAGTTAATGGTTACCTGAAGTTAGCAATCAAGCTAAATCAATAAATAAATGCTGAATGTGACTACCCATCGTGCCCATGAAATAGAAGCCAGACAGAAGACAAGTAAATATAACTTTATGATATACAAACTACATATAGAAAACATTATTTTCTGGCCAAAATGACAAGCGTCCTTGATCCCAATTCAAGCTTGTTATAAGTATGGACAGGTAGATCACTGAAAGACACTGCACTCAGAATTTTAAACTCAATTAAATTAAGGCTGAGAATAACTATTTTCTGTTTCTATTTGTTTCCACTTTTGCCACTTGCCACTTTTTTTCTGTAACATAAATGGGAAGCTTTCTCCTTTTCTTGTAGACACTGGTACTACTTGTTCTCCTTTTCTTGTAGACACTGGTACTACTTGTTTTGAGTGTGAAACAATAACCTTTATTGTCATTTTTTACTATGGGCACACTGGCACACATTAAAAATGAAATTCTGTTGCCTGCTCTCAAAGGTTTTACACATACATACACACATATATATAAGCTATATACATATACATTCTGAGCAGTCTTATTATATGGTTACTTTGAGACTTAAGATTAGGTTGCTTTTCTATCCAAGCTAATAAAGGGAGCATCGTGTCTCTGCTATTATTGATTTATTAAGAAGAGAAGAAAAAAAAGCTAAGGACATGACTAGGCAAAAGGTTATGGTTCTTGGCTGCCAGCCTGCCTATTATTGTTATCTTCTTAATTGCTATTGATATGGATTGCAAATATGTTGTGCTATGATTTATTATATGGGTAGGTGGTATTTGCATATATTATATTCATATACCAATGCTGCTGAGTAGTACTAAAGAGCACTAGTATAATGTTGGTTTAGTGGTTTTTTTTTAAACATTCAGGGAGCGTTCTTTACCTTTTTTGTGTTAATTTTGAACTTCAAGTTGCATTTTAACATGGAGAAGACTATAACGATTGGACTGGTGCACATTCATTTTTTGTCATTGTAATGCTAGTAAGATTAAGAAGCATTAGCAGCCATGTTTTGCACTCAGCATCACCACAATGTACAAGCAAAACCATTAGCAAATCAACATAGCTATTTTTGCTGTGCTTGCTTGTAAAACAAGCTCATTTAAAAATAAAACATGTCAATTCTGTTGTTTAAATTTGCTGAATAAATGGTGTGTTAAAACATATAGGTATATTGGCCAGAAAAATCTCTGAAAAAGAATAAACTTAATAGGAATTGCAGAGCCTGGTACTGTAATGAAACAAATATTAAAGCAGTTATGTGATCTCTTTCTTTGTTAGTCTATTAGCTAAAAATTAATATTTATATACTGAAGTAAATAAGATCTCAGTTGAAGACAGAAAAGGAATGGGAAATTGATAAGATTCTAAATTAAACAGATTTTTCAGTGGGTGAGAAAAGCTATGGGAGTTTATTTTTACAGGTAATCCTCAACTTAGAATCATAATTGAGCCCAAAATTTCCAGGACAAGGCAGTTGTTAAGTTGAGTTTTACCCATTTTACGACCTTTCTTGCCATATTGTTAAGTGAATCACTGCAATTATTAAGTTAGTAATTTCATTAACATACTTTGCACAATCACCTTTTCAAAGCTGCTTCACAAAGTACCAGAAAATTTATAAAATTCCTCATATAACTGAACATGAAAAACGGGCACATCTTGTTTCTGTAATTCATTGCTTAATCAGAGGAAATGACAACTGACTGCTCTCTTAGTTCCAGCAGTAATAGCTGTTCTCACCATCACAGAATTTTCAATTTCCAAAACTCTTCACTATAAGGATTAAAATGCAAAGCAGCTATAATTGATTTATAACTCCAATTTTTAAAATATTTTTAAATAGGTCTTCCACCAGACCAGAAGTTGCTAGCATAGATGCTATAGAACAAAACAACCATCAGTGTTCACGGAAGGCTGTTATTCAAGCCAGATCATCACAAATAACACGGCTTACAAGTATTATTTTGGCTGAAGATGTTTGTAAGTACTGTCTCTTTCTTCTCTATTAAGATTTTATTAGGACTAAATTTTAAGCACTTATAGGATTTCTGCATCCATATACTACTTAAAATAATCTGTTTGATTATTTGCAACCATTTGAATGAAACCATAGAGCAGTCATTTTTTAATCAACATACTTCAAATGGGCTACCTTACAGAATGTATTCAAAATCTGGGACCCAGGATTCCTATGGGACTGAAAGTTAAGATAGATTCAGTACTGCTGTGTTGTTGCACTCTGGCAATCAGCTGTGGTCACAGGATCATCATTTCCAATTCTCCCTGACAGCTTCCTACAACGAAAGTCAGTGGGGAAGCTGACAGGAATTGGGAATTCACTTGCACTCACTGTGTGTTTTTTTTTGGGGGGGGGGGGTTGCCTAAATGTAGTCATTCTGTTTCTCTGCTTAGGTAAGATAATATCTCTAAAATAGTAACCCATTGCATCATGAGTGGTCTGCTTTTTATATACTATGTATATGAAATTATTAATGAATATATTGATAAAACAGTCCTGTTCATGCTTACTCAGAAGTAAGATCCGCTGTTTTCTGTGTAAAGGATTTTACATAGGAAACAGACTGCCCTGGTTGTGTGTGTCTCTCTGTGTGTATTTGAAATAGCAAGACATAAAACTGAGTCTAGTTTCATCAATAGCTTCTGCTCATCGCTTCTGGCAGACTTCAGCTCTTTCCAAAGCTGACTGAGCAGTATCTGATCCCATTTCAAGCTTTTCTACAGTATGATAGGTAAAATATTTATAACTACAAAGGCAGGCATCCTGTGGAGATAGAAAATAAGGAATGACTTGATCTATGTGAATGGAAGGTAGAAAAAATGATGAAGTTATGGCAAGACAGTAGGAAAGAACAAAGGGATATTATGTTTGCATACAAAAAAATAGAACATAGGGGAAAGGGTATATATGAGGAAGCTAGAAAAAATAAAAATAGAAAAAAATAGATGGCAGAGAAAAGTTTATATGTATCTAATACTTTGAGGGGAGGAAGGGAGGGAGAGAGAAAAGAAGGAATGAAAGAAAGAAAGAAAGAAAGAAAGAAAGAAAGAAAGAAAGAGAAAAAGGAAGGAAGGAAGGAAAGAAAGAAAGAAAGAGGAAGGAAGGAAGGAAGGAAGGAAGGAAGGAAGGAAGGAAGGAAGGAAGGAAGGAAGGAAGGAAGGAAGGAAGGAAGGTACCTTAATCTGCTTGTGGAACTTGTATTGGTTGATAGACCCTAAAACTGGCCATTGAATTGTATTTGCATGATTTAGATTGAATGGTGGAGATATGTGCGTTGAAAAGTAAAATATGGGTAACTGATATGATTGGTAAATATCTGCTGACATTTGTATATCTTGAGCGTATCCTGGTCTAAAAATAACATTTTCAAACTACTGTATATGTAACTTATTTTGAACTAAGTTCCAATAGAAGGGTTGAACTGTGGAACTCTCAGAGCTTGGTTGTTTGTTTGCAAATGTTTTATTTAGATAATAACAGTAATATCAATGCTAGTGAGTGTGGGGTTTACTCCTTGTTTATATACAGTGGCTTGGCCTAACTGCTTAATTGTTTGTCTGGTGCTAATGTTGGCTGCTGGAGAAGATATGTTCTGGTCTTTTGTTTCACTACCTCTTTTGAATAGTGTGCAAGTATGCTTTATCTCTAAGTGTCTGAGCTAAGTTTAAACATGAATGTCACTTAAGATATAAAGTTTATTTGTTACAGGAGGTTGCTATGCACCAGTATAGTCGTAAATGAATTCTGCATATCTTGAAAGTTATTTGTAATATATTCAAACACTAAACAGTACTATATAAAATTACCTCAAATGTCTTCTTTGATTGACAGTAATTCTCACAACTTTCCTAAAAGCATAGATTAGTCAGATTTTATACTAGGACTATGCAAGGGTGCTTTGGAACATATAATAGCATGTATGAAGTGCCCCTTTTGAACTGTAAAAAAGGCATGGATATGTGGTTGCTTTGCCAGTGATTTTCAATTATGTGCATGCTCATGCATCCAAATGCAGCTGGAAGCAGTTTTAAAGGAACCATGTTACATACACTCTCCTGCAGGCTCCAATTCAATTTGTTGCAATATAATTTTTTTATATATATAGCAATTCTGGACAACATTCCTGCACAGCTTGGTAGGAGAGTCATAGTCCTAAATATCTACGGTAGAGGTACTGAGTTATAGAATGCTGTACTAAACTGCAGACTGTATTAATGTTCAGTGTTGACTAGATTAGTAGCTTTCTTCTTTTTTGTCAAGTGACTGGCCAGGTTCTTCGCTGTGACGCTATAGTTGATGTTATTCATACTATTCACATAGTATCTACAACGAAGGAATTGTATCTTGAGGATTCACCACTGCAGCTGAAAATTCAAGCCCGAGATTCTGAAGGTACCTAATGTATCACGGATTCAACATTTTAATCCCTAAAAGGACAACATTTTTCTCTTTCATGTGCATATTGCTGATTTGCTTTTGTTTAGATTTCAGTAATATTTTAAGAAAATTTGTCTTCCTTTTTACAGTATTAATGTGCCATGAAAAGAGTGGATTACTGTTATACAATCTTGTATACCTGTCCATTACACTTACTCATAGAAATCTGTTTTCTCTATGATATACTATAGGAGAGACATCCAACCTTGGCAACTTTAAGATCTGTGGACTTAAACTCCCAGAATTCCCCAACCAGTTATGTTCAAAGGTCTTAAAGTTGTCAAGGTTGGACACCCCTCCACTATATTATTAAATATTGATGATTTTAAATTCTTGTTCCTCAAAGTCAGGAAGTGACAATGAATATTTGTAAATATTCTCCAGATATATGAAAACTAACTTCCAGTATTCCAAACACAGTTGAAGGAAGGTGGTTTATATCATAAAAAAATCAAAGATTTGAATTTTCCTAAAATTTATTGTGGCAACTTATGCTGAGATGTTTTTGATGGCGTTCAAAAACATTGAGCAATTATTTACAGAGAATTCTTTTTTGCAAATGAGGTATCCTAGGCATCTAATTTGTTTCACAAATCACAGCTGTGACAAATATCAAGGGACGTTTATTTTTAGAGTAAATGGACTTTCTGCATTACTGTTTTTTATCAGTAATAGGGATATTTCTAGGATTTTAAAAGCAGAGGGTTATATACATTTGATCATGGTATTTGATCATTTGGTGTTTGCAGTCAGATATGGAGCATTTAAATATTGTGTCCATGAAAAGAAAATATGCTTGCAAATAATCAATTTCAATTTTACTTTCATTGATAGTATTACTAAAATAAGATTGTTTCCCTACCCTTTTTAATTTTTCCTAGTTGCCGTTTTAAATCTTTCCATTAAAAAAAATCAAATATCATGTGATGCATCTAATAGACATACATTTATTATATTTATATTAATATTTTACTACTTGTATACATTTATAGAATATTTAATACAAATTTGTATTTTCTATGAGATAAATGAATTGTGTTCTGCCTCTATTCCTCTTTCCACAGGTCATTACACTTAGTCTGTTGACAACTACATCTGAAATGAATTTACCTGATCATTTTATGTGTGTGCAGTTCTGCCTTATTTTCATTGTAATTCCCAAACATTGTGGTTGTGCAGATAATTTTGCAAATGAAGGAAAACTGTCTTTACATTCTAACTGTTTTGATATTCAATTATTTAAAGGAAACACTTTTAGCACATTGGCAGGACTTGCTTTTGAGTGGACCATTGTGAAAAGCTCTGAAACTAATGAATTCTCAGATTTCCATAATGCACTACAGTAAGTTTAATTTATTCAATTGTTAATATATGCATAAATGTAGACTTAAATAAATGTCTATACAGTTTGCAAAAGATGAGCTTTACCCATAGTTGTGCTACCTTCTTCTTTTGCCCATTTACCTACATAAAGATTAAAAGAACATGTTTATTGTTACAAAGTATCGGCACGGTCAAAAGTGAAACTAAATTTGAATACACAAGTAACAATTACCCAATTACAAGCTATAATGTCCCACCCACAAAACTATGCAAGAAACTATGTTTCCCAATATACTTTTTTGGCGGGCTTTTTATAAAATGCCCAGTCCCTGATCTCGAGAGCAGCAGATGACCTTGGTTCCCATGGGACAGGAGATTGTTTTGACTAATGAAGCACCTGGGCTACCCCCTCCCTCCATTCTATGTGGCAACCTAGAATGAGAAGAAAAAATGGCTGCAGCCATGCTCATTGTAGAGTTGACAGTTACCCTGCTGATTTCATGCCAAGTACTCAAAGAAGCACTGTAAAAAATTATCTGTAATTTTAAAAGTCATTCTAGTGAAACATACACACAACACAAAGTGTGTATATCTGGTGGGGGCAGCATAGAAGTGGCATTCTGTGCAGGAGCTCCCCTCTTGTAAAATAGCTTATCCATAAAAGTATCCCTTTTGTCATTATCTTTTTGGAAGCAGCGTTGGCGGAATAATAAGAATGAGATCTATTCATTTCTGATTTTTTTGTATTTATTGATTTTGATTGTATTATTTTACAGTTGTAGCAGCTATCTCAATAGGGACTTTACTTATTCAGATTCAATTCTGAATAAATGTTTTGAAAATCCTAAATCATATAGGGCTTATAAGTGTTAACAAGCACCTGGATAGAACCTAGAAAAATACTTGTAGTTAGTGCAGCTTATATATTACCAGTGAAATATGACAATAATAGTCCCATTATCAGATGGATAGAAGCATTCTGTAGGAACTGAAATTTCCAGATACTCCAAGGGCAAATTTTGTGCAAAGCAAATTATAATAGTCTAGTTGAGAGATGACAAATGCATTAATGACTATATTGAGTGCATCTTGTTCCAGATAATATCAAAACAGATGCATCAGCCAAAGCCAGGCAAATTGTTATAAAGACAATTAGCAAAATTGGGAGTCTCTATTGACCTCCCCATTATTCATGCATCTATTTGAATCAGGTTCATGGTTATTAATTGTACAAAACTGTATAAAATTCCATTGGATTTTTACATTCTCCTCATAGAAGAAACATTTATTGTTTTGAGAAATGACATTTTTTAATGTTTTAGCTTCATCTTTATATTTATCTGTTTTAAATGCTGTTTGGATATTTTTAACTACTGTTTGAATATTTTTCCTTTCAACCTTCTGATGCTTTGTTACACCTCTAGTTTGGAGAAATTTTAGTTGTAAGATTTTAAAATAAGTACTTTCAGTTACCAACATAATTATATTTATATAATTGTCTAATTTAATAAATAATCTTGGGGGAATATCAGCTCATAAGGACACTTTTTTTAGCTAATATACACTTTAAAGAAAAGCAAAAATATCAAAAGAGATGTATTAGAATTAAATTAGATAAAAAGATGAATAAAAAAAGTTAAAAGCTAATTATTATAAAATAAATATTTTGCTAAAGGCATTGAGAATATTGGATATTTTAATGTTTGGGAAGCATGATGCCATCATTCAGATCATACTGCATTTATGGAGTTATTATTTGGAAGTCAGCTAACAATCAGTGGAGATTTTTGGGTGAAGCCAGCATCTTTGAAACTTTTGTCAACAATTCCAGAAAATTACCAAATAAATGTGATATGCCATCCACTTTGAACTTTAAATTCCATTTGATTACCTTGGGTCTGTGGACATGATCTTAAATATATTTTCATCCACATCTAAAATAACTTGGGTTTTGATCAGTTTTCAAACTATTTTTCTCTGTTTCCTATTCATCTTCCTCCTGAAGTAATATTCAAAAGAATTTTCAGAAACACCAAGCAGCCTGCCACATCTGTTATGTTGTAGGTAAATATAACACACAAGACAGTGTAATATAAAGGTATTAAAACAGCTTTCCATAATAACTACATGGTTTGGAACCATGTATCTTAGACATTGCATTTCTGAGTATATTCTGCCCATCCAATGCAGATGAAAAGGGAGTGCCTGTGGAATGTCCCATTTTATCAGCAGTATAACAAGAGGGGTCATCCAGGTGAGTTGCCTCTCTTCTTTGGGAAGACAGTTACTTGAGGTAAAGATGGCTGCATTCTTATGGCCTTTCGGGGAATAGTTATACCAGGCTTTTCTGAAAGGCTTATTTGATGATTAATCAGCTAGGGGAAAAAACCCATTTCATTAATGTTTGCTACTGCTTGCATTTATATTATGTTTTATTCTACTGTGCTTTGTATAAGGTTTATTTTGTCACATAGAGCCTATGGAGGGAACTATTTTACAAACCTTATAAAGGAATAACTAATATTAATATCTAAAATAATTAACATTTCAACAGAATTCTGAAATTTTCTGAATCAACATATATACCACCTTCATATATATTAGAGATGGAGAAAGTTGCAAAACAAGGAGATATTGTCTTAGTAGCTGGAATGAAAACAGGGAGTTCAAAACTCAAAGCAAGAATAGAGGAAACTGTATATAAGGTATGTTACTACTAAGTGCTACATTTATCATAGTCATTTCCCAACCAATATTTTTCTTCCTTTATGGTTATGGTCCTATGATGCAAATAAAGTGATACCCATTACCTATACTCATTTATTATTATTTAGCACATGATGAAAACATGACAAAAGAGAAGTAAACATATACACACACAAACATAATTATAGGCAAAAGTTCTACACGGGTACAGCAATGGCCCCATAACTGGGTGTCCAATTCAGCTATCCAGGTGATCTGCTTCTTGCATTGCTTTGTGAAGAGCTAGGGAACCAGAGAACACATGTCGTGGGCAATCTTGCACAATACGTTTAATAATTTGCATATAAGCACCATAACATTACCTATAGTATAAAGAGAGCATAATTCAACAGTAAGCATGGATGGCAAATATATTGGGGTCTAAGAGCCAATTTGATGTGGTGGTTAATGTACTAAGCTAGAAATTGGGAGATAATAAGTTCTCTAGCCCCACCTTACTGATGAAAGCCCTCTGGGTGACCTTGGGTCAGTTAACTTCCTCTTCCTCCTCTAGGAAGGAGGCAATGGCAAACAAACTGCTGGGACTTGTCCTGGTAATCACCCAGAGTCAAGACTGACTAGAAGGCCTGCAAACACAAAATTTATTATAGAGAAGACTATAAAAGACTATGAAGGCAAAATATCTAAACAGAAATATTGTGAATTAAAGCAACTATTTCCTGTTTTATAAAATTCTGTTGAAACAGAATATAGTGTTGTGTGTTGATGGGATGTTTTTAGTATATCTCAGAAGGATGAATAGGTCTGGGTTGGGGCATTAACAAATTTCATCTGAAATTGTTAGTATTCATTTATGAATGCCAACATTCATTAATGCTGGCCATTGGCTATACTGACCACTTTATTTCTAGTCTTTTGTAGTGTTAAGGGTCACTTTGTTGTTTGTTCATAACTATTTCTTTGGCCTTTTCTGAACATTTGAAGTACTTCCCAATAGTATTAAAACAAATAGCCAATTTTCTTTTTAAATATATTTATTGCATTTCAACTTCATCCATTAAAATGCAAGCTAACATAAAGGGAAAAAGAAAATGGAATAGCAAAGAAAGTTAAAGTGACAAAAAGAATTATGCATCAAGAAAACATAACAAAAGTGACCTCAGACTTTCTTTTAATACAGGGATATTAACAATACAACCACCTCCCTCAAGGACAAATCTGGGCATTTTACAGCCCACGGGCCAGATCCAGACCACAGGCAGTCCCAATCAGGCCAGCAGTGGTGGCAGGGGTGGGGTGGGACATTACCAGGGGGCAGAGTGTTAGTGCAGTGTCAACATCAGGGGTGGGACGTTGGTGGTCAAGTGGTCAAGGGATGTCAGTGCAGTTTTGGCAGCAGAGTTAACAGTCCCAGTTTCTCATGTGACCCCTTGGGAGAATTAATTGTCCACCCCTGCTCTAAGTTTAAACAAATAACACCAGTTTATAAAATATCTTAAAATCCTAGTAATCACCATACTGGAACACAAATATTCATAAAATATTCTTTTCGTAATTTGCTGTGACATAGTACATTATCAAATGTAAATAACCTTATGCTTAAGCAGCTTCAATATTTCTCTAGTCAAATTGAGTCTAATCTTCAAATCCCAGATTTGAGTCGATTCTTCTTAAAACATGTACTCAATTTCTTACAGTAAAATGTTGAGTTTTAACTCACTTGAGGCCTTCAGGCAGAAAACTGCAGTCACTTCTTAAAGGTGGTCTAGCTTTGGATTACAGCTACATTGCTTATTTATTTAGCTCATTTCAGTTATTTGAATCTGCACCTCTTATCCTGCAAGCTAATTATTAGAATTAGAGGAGGTCCAGAAATAAGAACAAAAATTGCATCAGACTTAACTATTGCTTTTTTTTCTCAACAGTGCTTTTTATTTTCACTGTTAATTAATTTGCTCTGTAAGCGATATAATATTGTAAATAGAACATTAACGAAAGCTAGTGGTGAGATTCCTGGTTTTTACGGAATAAAAATTTCAAATTAAAAGCATTGTTTACCAAGTATAGTTCCTCTGAGTATTCAGATACTTCAAGATAAAAATACGCTATCTATAACAAATATTAATTTTGCAACTCTGACACTTAATACAACATAGTCAGGAGGATTCTATTTGGGTTGAACATTCACTTTCTAATCCCTGAGTATTTTTCTTGTCTTTCTTACAGTCCTTTTCTTTTTTAACATTTAATAACTAGGACTAGGACTAGTACACAAGGTGATGTCTATATTTTGGAAAAAGCAGTTCCATTGATGAAGCCTATGTCATTAATGGCTAAAAATTACAGATTATGCTGGGCAGGAACAAATGGTAGAGCTGTCCATTGCATTCCTTCAGAATACTGTTCAAATTAATTAAAGATAAGATTAGTAACAGTTGATGTTAGACAGATCTAAGCTGAAACCTAAAACTCAACTGGTTCTAACATGTTTTCTGATTAAACATTTTGTAATTTGTTCTTGAATCTTTTCAGGAACTTTGCATGGTTTTCCTAATGTAAATTTCCTTAGAATTTACATCTTTACTTTTGCAAGTGTCTCATGTTATCAAAATGTTTACTTTAAAATACTGCAAAAGCCTATGTGAAGGACCTCAAATAAAACTATCCCATCCTTCAAGAAATACTGAGCCTCCTTATTAAATATTAAAAACATAGCTTTGGGGAGCATTTTGAACTGGAGACCATTGATTGATTTTTTTTTTTGTTAAATACCACTGCAGGTGTGAAACACTTAACATTAGAAAGAAAGATACAAAGCATCCAAAATAAAAGATTTAAACTTTACAGTATGAAGAGTAAATCAAAAGCATACCGACATGCAACCTAAAAACCTAATAACACAAGGAAAAATTCTCAACATGGTGTCATCTTAAGTAAGCCAAAAGCTCAGTTTTTTAAAAAAAATTACTCTGCAAGACCTCTGTTTGCTTCTGGAAAGCCGTCATTACTGGGACAAGTAGAGAGGATCCTTTCACCCTAGATGAATTAAAAAAAAAATTAACCCAAATTACTCCATTCTGCATCAAGTTCCACAAATGCAATGAATGAAGTCACAAATATAAGGACTACATCTAATAAATCATTACAATAATAGACCAACTTATAATAACGACTGAAATTTGTTCTTATATAAACAGTTTGTAATATAGATGATATATTGTATTTATTCTCAAAAGATCATAGGAGCTGATCTTACTCTTTATTAAAGCAGTAACTTTATAGTAGAAGTAGGAAAGTAGTAACTTCATATGGCAGCTTTGTATTTTCAAAATTCACTTTTTGTGAGTTAAATATTTATAAATATATATTTAAAAATGCATGTTTATGATTGTTTCTTTTAAATTAATTTTTTTTAACCAACAGAATGTGCCAGGAGCTGAGGTCAGATTGTTTATTTTGGAAAACATCATTTTAAATCCTGCTTATGATGTCTACCTATTGGTAGGAATGTCAACACAATATAAAGTCATGAAAATTAGAAGAGGGAAAATGACAGGTTTGTCTTTATGTCTAGCTATAATATTTTACAAATGTTTCCTGCAGATCTATATAATGATACAACTATGTTTAAGTTAATAAACATAAATCATAACATAGTCCATTAGTCATTGCTCAGATAGATTCCTGTGTCCTTTAATACTTAGTTTGGCACATATTTAATCAACACATTTTGAGAGTTAAAAGATTGTTTCAATTAAATTTCATCATATAAACCTGAGTAAATTCTTGCAAATGTCAATCCATGGTTTGTATGGGGAATGGGAGAGGGGGGAGAGAAGACAAGCAAAAATAACAGGAATATTGTGCTAATTGTGTCTTCATTACTTAGGGTAGTGAAGGGTTACCTGAAAAAAAAAAAAGTAATACAGACCCACATCTGAACTGTATATTCTGGCTTGGAATTAAGTTTATACCATGTTACTGGCCTATTCTAAAGAATGAGTGAAGCAATATTTCCATACTTCAGTTCCTATCTGATCTCAAGAATTATTTTTGATGCTGTAATGTTCAATCTTTTTCCATCCTGCTATCAAAGGAGCTTAGAGGAAATATGTATGAGGTCAGGAGAGATAGTTCTCTTTTCAGAAGCCAGCAGCATCTTTATGTCATTTAGTTTATAAATATGAACTTAGTTGTAAAAAAAAATAAGGTTACACTCCATTGGTATTTAGACCCAATTTTTATGGTTCACGAATCCCTCTTAAGTTTGACTTCCTTAAAGGATAAATTACATGGAGATATGCTAAGTGAGAAAAAAAGTAAAAAGTAAAAAATAACAGTGAATTAATGTTAAGAAAGCTAAACGCATTTACAAGATACAGAAGTTAAACTTAAGATATTAATAATATTAAATTTAAAATTTTAAAGTAATTAAGGTAATATTGACTAATTCAAATAAGGATAACTGCACTTAATTTACCCCCAAATCAGTGGGAGAAATAAGCCATCACTGAAAATATTTTCCATTGATTTAAAATACAACAAATTTGATTGGATCCATATCATTGATAAAATATTCATATAAAATTTATATTCACATTGTCCTAGTTTATTAATAAAACCATATGTCATATCATCTTTACTTCACTAGTTAGCATCTGTTATTTACTTTGGTTCTATTATATCTAAAAAAATAAGATGAACTCATTAATATGTGCCAAAGGATATAAGACATTTGCTTTGGGGAACAGAAAGCTAACGTAAACAAAAGAAGTTTTTCTTAGAGGCTGAATAAATCAAACACCTCTATTAGTAATATAATCATAATGAAAGGTTTTTTTTTTTTTACAAAAAAAGAATGTGAATCCATTTATTTTTGTCTTCCTAAAGCCTCTGACTTTAGCAATGAGGATTTCAGCTGTAAGAAAATGTGTTACTGTTCTGTTACTTTTTTATGTAACTGTATACTCTGGCTCTTTATAGTAAATAGGTAAAGTGATATTTTATAGTACAAAGCAAACATGTCTATGCTGTGTTTTTTCTTTTTAAAAAATACTTCGATAAGCACAAAAGCTTTTGTAGGTTGCTTTTTTTCTATTGGAAGCATTCAGTCACACCGTTTTCACTTTGATTGTTTCTTCCTGTTGTCTTGCATTTTGGACAGAACTAATCATGCCTTCTGATCAGTATGAGCTACAACTTCAGAACAGCACACTCAGCCTTGGGGGAGATACAGCCTGGCCAGTTGCCAGGTTGGATCAGGCAACATGCACAGTCACTGCATTGCAGCGGGGACAAGCAAACCTTGTACTTTCCCACAAAAATATCCTTTCTGTGTGTAGTTTTGCATATTATGCACAATGAATAATCATTAAATTAGCCACCCTGTGTTTAGATGCCACTATCTTTCCAGGATCTGCTACCGCTCATTAAGTAGCAATACTCTTGACTTGTTCAAAGAGCAAAGAATAGAAGAGGTGTTACTGTAACAAAATTTTCAGTGTGACTTCTTTGATTCTTTCTAGTATTAAAAATTAGATAATCAAAGATTTTACTTATACAACAATATTAATTCGTTATCACTGTCTAACTTTTGGATCCTTAACTGATTTCTAAGTGTATCTATGCAAGGGGCTTCTAAATTACCAAATGGCACTATTTTTGTTGTGGACCCAGGATACCTAGGTTAGTATGCCGTGCTAATTGGCCTTGGAAATAAATAACTTCATATATTATTTTAATAAAGCTAATTAATTCCATATAAAATGTAAACTTATATTGTCATGTACTTAATAAATGCGTAGACTTGCTGGGAGCTATATGGCATATAAATTAAAATATTATAATTGGTTGCACAGTCAGCCAGATGTTTGGAGTGGATTTGGCATTTTTATCCAGCTATTGAGACCTTCCCAATGACCTGGGGATAGGCAGATGTTATTTGATCATATTAAATAGGATGTAAACTGTTTGAAGTAAAATTGTCTTTTGCAATTGACTGATGGCAGTTTTGTCAACATTGATGGTGTTTGAGTAGTGCTCCAGATGTTTTAGAAATGCATCCAAGGCTCCTATTATTATTATGCTCCTTATATTATTTCACCATCTTTGCTTTCTTTTGCCACAGTCATTTTACTTCTATTTGCAGGTCTTTGTATTTTGTGGTTTACTGCAGCTCTTTCCTTTCTATTCTCCTGTCTCCAGGTACTGCCAAGTTCATTTTCCAGACTTTTTGTCCATCTTATTAACAATTGTTAAGTCTGGGGTATTATGTGGCAGGTGCTTGTCTGTTTGAATTCTAATGTCCCAGAGCACTTTAGCTTCTTCATTTTCTATAACTTTGTTCTTTTTTATGATTTCAGCAGTTCTTTGTTTTATTATTACTATTATTAATTTGATTGCTCACATTATTATATTCTTCAGAAGGAGGAGGGCTGTAACTCAGATATAGTATGCTCTTATCATTGCATGTTTGGACAGGTTATCATAAATTACATCATAGGTTATCCAAGAGTGCAATCAATGTTATTTTTGTTCCATCTTTATTTCTATATTTAATCCACTTCTTCCAGAGTTCTTTGAAGTGGCTACACAACCCTTATATGTGATTACTGACTCATATATAAGATTACAGAATTTTTAATTTGGAAAATAACTTTCTGCTAAACAACAAGATTTTGAAATATTTCCCCGTTATGGAAAAGTTTATATAGAATCACACTTAATGTCACTCTGATGTGTTTTGATCAGGTGAGTATTCTGTAACTATGTGACTTTCAGTGCTTTTGCTGTGCAGGATTCTCAATTCATCCTGGTAAGAGATGGGCGCTGGAAACTGAGAGATTCTATGAAATCACTATTGAAGTGTATGACAAATCAAGCAATAAGGTGTATTTATCTGAGGTAAGGGAAAAATAAATAAGCCTTTTTCTGAAAAAAGTACATCAAGTATACAGTATAATGATAATGATGAGAAATTTCAGTCAGGAGTACTATTAAGATTAGAGTGAAAACAGAACATAGATACCATGTGAACAAAGGAACCGGTATTAGCTCAAATGATGAGAAACAACTTATTACTTTCAGTCGCCAACATGAAGCTATTTCTTTGCTCTTAAGTAATTTTTGCTACTTTTTTAAAATTGGCCTTTCCATCTGCATTTTTAACATTTGACATTCTTTTATGGAAACAGTACAATTTTCTAGGAAAATTAAGAGCATAGATCATCTGTTGAGAAGCAGAAGTCCAGACTTTTTAAGCAGATGTAACATACTGAAGTTTATTCTTGCTTATTAATGTTCAAAATGGCAATGGTCACTTTATAGTTTCTTTGTTTTGAATTAACAACAGGTTTACGCATATGTATATTGAAAGTAAAGTACTAATGAAAAGTCTTTCAATGAAACCATAGGGCACAAACTTTTTACAAGGAGACTTGTCTTGTAAAAATACCAATTTCTTAGTGCGCTTGATAGCAGTTTATATGTAGTTCTTATAAGGTATGGTTTAGGCAACATGACCTCAAGTTGAACATCGTAACAGTTAATTAGCTTTTTTATTTCAGTTGTTGGAATGGTTGTACATTTGCCATATTTTCACTTTCCTTACTATATTTTTTCAAGCTTTTTATTGTCTTGAGAAACCTTAAAGCATGGATGATTGAAGGAGGGAAAATATTGTCTGATCTCCCAAAGGGGGAGTCAATAGTGAACTAACATCAATATTTGGCAAATCTTAGAGTAAATCATAAAAAGATTAACTGCAAGGACATTAAAAAGCAACATGGTAATCATTACAACTCAGGCTGGATTTGATAATAACAGAATTTGCACAACTACTTCTTCTTTCATTTTGATTTCCTTATGCGAGTAGAACATACATAATGCAACTTATTTTGAAATACAATGACAATAGAAAGATTGATTCCATCTGACTGTTTTTTTTTTTAAAAAAACACGAACACATATTTTTCTTGTGGCATCAGATTATATTAATGGTATTTTTTATTAAGATATGTTTTTATTCAAAATGTATTTGATAACCATTCCTTTTTTAATTTCAGAACATCAGAATTGATATGTACTTCTCAAAAGAATATTTTGAAGTTGTGCAGTCCTCTCTGAATGGTTCATATCACTATGTAAAAGCAATAAAAGAAGGACATACCATTCTTAATGCTAAACTAACATCTATCGTAGATCAGGTATGATGCTTGAAAAAAGTGGCTTTATGTGAACCTTGTCTAGTTAATAAGTAAAGTACTATACTTATTATTACCACATTTAGCCAATTTACTGATTTAAATTTAAAATATAATCCAATCAAAAATAATCATATGAAAACTATTCTGATGAATTTTGTTAGAATTACAATTTGTAATATATTACATATTCCTAAATGGATTATAAAGAAGTGAAATTATTGAAATTAGTACATTCAAATAAAGAAGAATAGGTTTTATATACTGAGATAAATTTAGATGTTATTCATTAGGCACCAACATGTAGCAAATACTTTATTTAAGGATATAATTATATTTTTAGTGATTTCTTTAGCAATCTGGGGGGAAAAGGTTAAAAAGAATTCTAATTTGTTATACATGCACATGTGTGTGCATAAATGATTTATTGTACAGAACTAGGGTATAAAACAGTATTTGTACACTTGCCATTAAATTAGTTCCATGGTGGATGGTATTCTCCCCATTCTGAACAGGAATATCTACTTCCAACTTTTTTTGAAGGTGAAGTTTTGGTCAATTTAATTTACACACTTGGAACCAATTGCCTCTTACCCAATAAAAATAGGTTTTAAAGAACACTGAAGTAAAATATTTACTTAATGCATATTTATTTTATTAGGATGGAGGTGTTCACACATTTTCTGTTCCTGCACAAAATCAACAAGAAGTAGATATCTATTCTCCCATTGTTCTTCAACCAAGCATTTTGACCTTTCCGTGGCAAGCAAAAGCAGGAGCCTATCAGTACAGAATCCTGGTATGTATTGAAGCCATCTAAATACAGCAAGCTTAGCAATTGGATCCATTACTGTTCAAGTATATGTTATTAACTTTGGTGGCTATAATCATTGGAAAATGTAGTTTTGTTATTATTTGTTTGTAGTTTCCCACCTGTGTCCTTAAAAGCTTCATTTTACTTAACTTTACAATTTAGAAATCTTTTTAAACTTGTGTATGGCTGCAAATGAGAAATTTTGATAGAAAGAAATTTCAAATATAAAAATGACAAAAAATAAAAACAAGTGACAATTATAAAAAACAAGTACTTGCTTAAGTATTTGTTAATTCTCTAAATCTACAACTGTATTCACTCCCAACAGAAGAATCACCACAGAACCTGGCAGTTCTAGTTTTTTCCACTATTGGTATAATATTGTGCTTTATTTATATATTTTTCTTCTGTACTTTTCATGTTTCTTCAGTTTCAAGAATAAGTTTTTTTCATAGAAGTGTTTTTTTCAAGAAAGTGTTTTTTAATTGTTTTTACAATTAAAGTTGTAAAAGTCTTTGAATTATTTACAAAAGATTCATGCTTTGATTACGACTGAAGTGCTTTTCTTCAAAACAGATATCTATGTGAAACTTGCTTTTTTTAAAACAGTGCCAAGCTAGTTGATACAAAAGTTGGTGATTCTTTTCTAGTTAGTCTATCTAATTAAAGATATAAAAAAAATAATCTTGAATAAGATTATGCAGTTCTGGATAATTAATAGCTGGGAATAAGCCCAGTAATTAATGCCTCATTTATTTTTGAGTAAATTCCATAAGATTGCATTGCATTGCATTCTTGAAAGCATCAGTGAAGATCAGTTGAATATTTGTACTTCAGAGTACATATAAAGTTTATTAATAGGAATATAGCTATTTTCACATCAACTACTTTTTCTAATTGACCGTGGCTTGTAGCTGTTATTAGTTGTGGCCACTATAAAAACAATAATTTTTATATTGGTAATAAGTAGGAAAAAAATAAACATATACCTGGAATATTTTGTGTGGTGTTGGTTGATTTCATCTTAAAATATACATAATAATGTAGAAATGGATACAGGAAGGATAGGAAGAATGAATAGGGCAATTCCCTTAGGAGAAAGAACTAAGATGTGCTTTTATGCGATTTGGATAGAAAGTTATTTATGATTTTCAGACAGCTTATGCTGCTTCAGATCTTTTAATTGTTTGTTTGTTTGTTTGATTGATTGATAATGTGACATCAAGTCAGGGTCAACCTTTAGCGATTACTTGGATATTCTCCATAATAATCTGTCCCTAATCTAGCCCTCCAGGTCCTCCAGCAGTGAATCCTTTGTAAATGAGCCAACCATTTTGTTACTGGTAATTCTCTTTTCTTTCTTCCAATCTTCCCCAACATTACAGCCATCTTCCACATAATGTGTCCTTTGTACCTTAAGTGATAATTCTGGGTTGATTAAGAGAGTACAGAAGATGACCTTAATGGAAATAAGAGAGTTCATTTCATTTTTCACTGTAGAGCTTTACAGTGCTCATACTTCTTACTTCCATATTCCCATATTTCCATATTCTTCCATTGCAGCTTCAAATTTTCTTTTCTTGTATGGCAACATCAGCTAGATATCCCAAAGGTTTTAATCCAGCCCAGCATAAACACTATTAATATTCAAAAATATCCTCAGTTTCTCCACAGTAGCATGTTGAGTGCCATCTGACATGAGAAGACTATCATCCAGCATAATATTGTCAATCTTTTAATATTTTCCAACCATGCAGTTTTCTTGGTAAAAAGACAGCAGTGGTTTATCAGTGTCTTTTTCCACACAGTATGAATTGATGCCTCTGCCAGTCTCACTAAAGTGATCAACTGCCTCTGGCATATTCCTATATCACAGCTTCCTAATATAGTTACCAGCCTGGTTTAGCTATTTTCAAATCTGAGTGAAATATGATGAAAATATATACTTTGCACATAACTCCCAGCAACAGCAGGGTATTGTTTACTGTACTCCTATTGTAATATAAATCAGATAAACACAAATGCACTGCAGCAATCTAGAACAACAGAGAAAAAAAACAGATTGCCTATACAATATGTTCCAACAGTGGATATCAGTACATTATCAAAAAAATGTCAACTGCTCAAACCACTAAAACACAACCAACTCAAGCTATAAAAAAGAGAACACAGCCATACATCAGAAATAAAACAGCTCAGAAACAACTAAACAACCAACCTGTTACAACACTGTTGTATCACCAGAGTTCACAAACCAATTAAAGCCCTCCAAAACATTCTGAGTAAGCTTAAAGAGCCAGCAGCCCCAAAAGAAAAAAATCAGAAGTCATCTACAACTTAGATGTAAGCTCTGTAGGAGCCACTATGGAGAAAAGCCAGGTGGAAGACTAACAGCACATCCATGAATACCAACTAGCAATTAGAAGACATGATGAAAACAATTTAATCTCATAACACTTGGACAGACCTAATCATACTGGAAACTATGATAAATTCATCCACTCAACTGGGAAACTGTGAGTGTCCTAATTAAATCCAAAAATGCTAGGAAGCTTGACGAATTGCCATCAGTAGTCACATAGAGATAAACTATACATACTATTGAAAAGAGACATAAAAAAACCTAAGGAGGTAACAAAAATACCAGAACATGTCTCTTCAGTAGCCAACATCCAAATAAGCAGGGATTGATATTAGACAATCAAGCAGAACTAGAGCAAATTCCACACTCATTAGCACTGATAATATTACCTGGTCAGTTAATGAAATGTCTGCAAGCAAACATCAAGCTCAAAGACCACCAAGAATTCCACAGTAAATCTTTATTAATAGCCTTGTGACTTATTATACTGGGACTGGCAAGATAGATAGATAGATAGATAGATAGACAGACAGACAGACAGACAGACAGACAGACAGACAGATCCTTTATTGTCCTATTTTTATTGAGGCCACACTGGCACACATTAAAAATGAAATTCTGTTGCCTGCTCTCAAAAGTATACACATACATAATGTTATGTCCCGAGCCTTGCAAACGGCTCGGGCATTTGCAGGCAGTCCCGGGCAGGTGCAAAGCTGCCCGGGACCAGACAGGCTGTCGCCAGCGCCGTGCGCATGCGCGGGTGCTGGCGCGGGAAAAGTAACCCATTTACCCGGGAGTTGCCTATATAAGAGGCTGCGAGGCGTTTGGGCGAGGCTGAAGCCATCTTCCTGTAAGCTGAACGCTGAATAAATGAAACTGAGAACTCCAGCTGCTTCTCGTGTCTGTTTTCCCGCCACGGACTCAACACTGGCGACGAAGGTGGGATGCCTTGCACTACCTGGAAAGGAAGAAGTGTAAGCTTACCCAAGGAGTCCTGAGCGGCGAAAGAGGAACGGCGTCGACTCGGCAGCTGCCCGCCAATCCGGTGCGCATTCGGGGGTAGGCTGGCTGATAGACCCGTCTCCTGAAGATCCGAAGATGGCGAAAATCGGAAGGCTTTCGGAATTCGACGTCTCACATCCAGAGCGGTGGGAGTCCTACGTATCCAGAATGGAGAACTACTTCAAGGCAAACCAAGTGAGGGAAGATAGCTTGAAGGCGGCCACCCTGCTTTGCGTTTGCGGCCAAGACGCCTTCGAAATCGCAGAAAACCTTGCAGCACCTGTCCCAGTAGAGTCTGTAAGCTACGCAGACCTGAAGAAGCTGCTGAAGGAGCATTTCCATCCCAAGGTGTCCGTTATCTCATGGCGCCACACCTTCGAACAAAGGGATCAACGGTCCGGTGAGTCAGCCAAGGAATACATCGCCGCGTTACGGAAGGCCGCCAAGCCCTGCGAGTTCAAGGACCTCGAGGAACGACTGAGGGACCGATTCGTGTGCGGGTTAAGGCATCGCGAGCTACAACAGAGACTTTTCGCAAAGGAAGAATTATCCTTCCAAGACGCCTTAAGGGAAGTCACCGCAGAAGAAGCAGCAGGCGGCGCCGTCAAAAACATGCGGCCGATCAGAAACAGTGCAGAGGGTGCGTCCGTGCACCAGGAAGACGTCCGACGAAACTCCGAGGAGGATCCGGACGAGGAAGTCGACCGTCTACACCCCGCGAAGGAAGAGAACCAGAAGGGAAGCTCTTCGGCTCCGCTCAAGTGCATCGGCTGTGGAGGTCGCCACAGGAGAACCGACTGCAAGTTCCGCTCCGCTACCTGCCGGGCATGCGGTAAACAAGGGCACATTGCAGCTGTGTGCCTGGGCCGACGAAAGGCACAACCCCAAGAAGAACGCCTGAAGGGTACCAGATTCCCCAGCCAGAATAGGGTAGGTTTTTGCGCTTCGCGAAGAAGCATCTGTAGAACAGGCACACACAAGCCCATGAAGAAAAAGCTGTCACTCAACGTGAAGCTACAAGGGGTTCCATTATCTATGGAACTAGACACAGGGTCTGCCCTGTCCATCATTTCATTGCATACATTTAGGAAGATTTGTTCCAGAAGTGGGTCTAAGGCCAAGTTAAGGCCTTCTGATATTGTATTAACAGATTTTCAGAACTCAAGAGTGTGTGTTAAGGGGGAGGCCACCCTTAACGTGCAATACAAGAGTTTTGAAGGTCCACTAGACTTATTAGTAGTAGGGGGTGAACGAACGAGTCTCATAGGACTCGATTGGTTTGAGGCCCTGGGGATACACGTCACAGGACTCAATAGCTTACAAACACTCGACCTACAGGAAGTCTGCAAGAATTTGCAGATGTTTTCAGCCCCCAGCTGGGCACATTCAAAGGACCACCTGTGTCCTTAAAGCTAGACCCCACTGTCACTCCCATTAGGATTAAAGCAAGAAGGGTCCCTTTTGCTTTAAAAAGTAAGATTGACACTGAACTAGACAAACTAATCCAACAGGGAATCCTAGAACCTGTTGATTCCAGCCCGTGGGAGACCCCCATTGTCACGCCTCTAAAGGCAAATGGGGACATTCGCATTTGTGCTGATTACAAATGCACACTCAA